TTTTTTTTTTTCCTTTTTGTCTTTTTTCGTGTCCGGCAACGGATCGCAACCCTCAGTGTCGCGCCCGTACCGGACCGGGACCGGCAACGGGATCCGAACCCTCGGCGGGAGCGCCACCACACTCCCAAGCGGCGCACTGTAGCAATGCGCCACCAGGCCGGCCCGGAAAATGTTAGTTTTGAAAGGAAATAGCCCAATATAAAAAGATGCCACTGAGTATAATGTTGAAGAGGGAAAGAAGAAAGTTCCCTGGTGGTCTTTTCATGAAGCATTTTTTGTGTTCTCCCATTCCTATTTTCTCCGGTCTCGTGGATGGGGATGCCTCATAACTACTGGCAGCAGCATACTGCAGCAGCAGAGATAGCAGACAGCTGAATTTGATGACAGTAGAACCTGGTTAAAAGTGCCATTTCTGTGTATCAGGGACAAGAGAGATAGTGAGATCTACAAGGACCCTACAGTGTAGATATTTGCAGCTCTCTATAGTCAAGTAAACAGGCTTCAGGGGACATGGTGAAGAAAGGACAGATTTAGTGGAGGAAAGATCTTTAAGTAACTAGATAGGGTGGAATTATATAGAGATGGGAAGGAGATGAACAGCTGTGATCCCCAGCTGACATTCTTGGGATGGGCCATTCACTTGAATTCAATTACACTTGGCACCTTCATTCTATGCCAGTCTCTGTCCTTGGCACTGAAGCAGCAAAAATGAATAGGATGTGGCCCATGCTTGTGACAGGAGACAGGCACAGTTTCAGTGCAAGGTGGTGAGTATTAAAGTTTGAGCCCTTATGAGGGCAAGAAATTTGTTTTTTGTTTTTTACTGCTTTGTGTCTAGCACCTGGAAAAGGTAAGTGTCTAGTATCTCACAGATGCTCGATAAATATTTGTTGCGTGAGTGAGTGAATGATAGTGGTATGTACAAGATGCTGTGGAGCAGAGTGGAGAGATTAGGAGTGGGAGGAAGAGATTTTTAAAAAAGCTTCTTGGAAGAGGTGACATTTGAGATAAGTATTAACAGATTGGTTGAAATTAGCCAGATCATCAGGGTAGGTGGGCTTTCCAGGAAGAGGGAACTATGGTTCTTAGGTCAAAGTCTGTTAGAGATGGGAGACAAGGTGAAAGTTATTTCACAGAAGAGATTCTTGGGATGAATCCCCTTGCTCCTCACATCACGTAAAGGCAGGCACTGGATTTGTCTGTATTGTGGTTACCACGGACAGCAGGGTGGTACGAACTTCCAGGATGGCAGGGGGTCTAGAAGAACTCTAGATTGAGGGCTCCCACTTTGAAACAGGAGATGAATTTTGACATGAACTGTTCATCCTTCAGTGCTTCAGTACCATCTCTGCAGTTGCTACAAGGAGGTGGCTACAAGGAAACTAGTTTTTTAAATAGCTCATCCTCATGCTTATTGAGCATGAAGAGAGCTGGATGAAGTAACTGGATAAGTAAGTAATGACATTTGTTAAAGAAACATTTTAGACACATGTTAGAAAATTTGTATTTCTGCTTGAGAAGACATCTCTTCAAAGCAGTTACATAGGGAAGTTGCTCACTTATTCTTAGGGGTGCTGCTGCCATTTTCTAAGTGTCTTTGTAACTTAGCTTTGGGAAAAAGCCCTCAAGCCTATAAGGCATGCTTTTAAATGTCCTCAGTGTTAGCAGAACTGCCTTTTGAGGGAAGATTTTCTTTTTGACATTCAGAGGTCATCTGGAGCTGGAATAGATGAATAGCAGCCCTGGAACCCACCTCCTCCTCTCCATAGGCATTGCTGCTGCAAGCCTTTTTCACCTGAATTACTGGCACAGCTGCCCAGATGAGGTCTGTTTGCCAGTACCTTCTCTAATCCATTTTCTGCACCATGTCATTCATTTAACAAATGTACAAGTATTATGTGTCAGGCACTAGGCTAGATGCTCGAGGAACTCAGTCTGGTGGGGAAGATTTAATTAGAACAATACAGCATGTTAGGATGGGAGGAATTTTTTAAATCCTAGCAGCACCTGAGCCAAGACCTAAAGAATGAAGCATTAAGGAGGCAAAGGGGAAGAAGGGGGAAAGGAACAGTGTTATAGGAAGACAGAATAGTATGTGATCGTCCAAAGGAAGCAATGGCTAAAAGATCACCTGAAAGGTTAGACAAGGAATGTGAAAGAAGAATGGTGAGGTAAGCTGAGAGAAGTCACAGAGTCCCATAAACCACATGAAGGAATTTGAACTCCTAAGGGTAATGATAGTCACCAGAAGATTTTAAGTAAGTGTCATGATCATACAGATGTTTTCAAAAAACATTCTGGCTGTTGTGGGAAATATTAGAGTAAGAAAGTGACAGATTGGTGAGGAGGCCACAGCAGTTCTCTAAGCCAGGGGTCAGAAACTACAGCTGACAAGTCAAATCGCCCTGTTTTTCTATGGCTCGTGAGCTAAGAATAAGAATGGTTTTTTAATGTTTAAATAGTTGAAAATACCTAAAGAAGAAGAATATTTTGTTGCATGTAAAAATTCTATGAAATTCCTATTTCGGTGGCCATAAATAAGACTTTTTGAAACACAGGCACACTTACGGCTGTTTTCAGTCTCTAAAGTAGTAAGACAACCAAGTATTTACTATATGACACAGAAAAAGTTTGCCTACTCGTGCTGTAAGCAATAGATGATGATTGATGGCCTAGGGTAGTGGCTATAAAACTGAAGAGACACTGGGTTGATATCTTGACATTTTTTAGGATTGATTCAGGAAGGCCTTTAGGAGATGGAATTGACCGGCCTAGATACTACTGATAGCGGTAAGGACTACTGGGTTAGCCTCCTAACTGGTTTCCATACTTCCATTCCTTGCCTATTTACAGCCCATTCTCCACTCAGCAGCCATTTTTTTAAAAGATGCCACTCCCTGCTTACAGTTCTAAAATTACCCTTCTCACTCTTCCCCTTAGGATAAATTTCAAGTTAAATATACCTAACTGACCCTTCCTTACTCTAACCCACTGTTTCATTCTGGTCTCATTTGAACTACTTCAGTTGCATTTTCCCTGAGACTCCCGTCTTTTCTTGCCTCTGGACCTTTGCTTAAACCTCCCTGTGCTTGGAAAATCAGCATCCCACCTTCTTCCTGCCTCTAAAATGCTTTGTGCTTTTGCAGCTCTGGACTGTCTGGAGTGCTGGGTGTTTAAATTTGTCTCCATCGGAAGCCGAAAACTGACTGGCAAACTATTCCGTCGCCAACTGATAGACGCTTAATAGAGAATGAATGATACAACCCTCCACTGCTAAATTTGAGTGGCTTAAGGAAAAGAAAGAACCAAAACGAATATAGGTGGATGAAGGACTTCAGCAACATCAGGTGGCAGCGTCAATTTTATCGTTTGTGAAACGTGGATAGTAATCCCTAGTTCACATGGCTGTTGTAGGTATAAAATGCAAAAAAAAAAAAAGCCTGGCTCGTACAATAAACGTGAGTTGAAATTGAATCTGATTTGTGGCCAATACAACAAGACGTGAATACTTAAGGAAGACACATTCCTTATATGCCTGGTAAAATGGATCGGAAGGCAAGTCCTCACGAACACCCCCGCCCTAAATATGCTCAGCCAGGGCGGCCCCAGAGTCTGCTTCGCCCCTCCAAGGTGACTACTTCGCCAAGAGCTTACGCTCTTCGAATGCATACGTTTAAGTCGGTTCCAGAAACCCTCGGCTGTGCAGCGAGTACACGGCTACTAAAGAAACGACGGTACTATCCCCGCGGTAATGGTCTGAGAATTGGAGCAGTGAGGGGAGGGAGGGATTCTCTCCACTACGAGCCAAGGTTTCCTCAGGCCCCTTCCAAGCTCCGGGTCGGCCCGGGTAATCCCAGTCCAGGTATTTGGTTGTGCCTTTTCTTCAGCCAGGACACAACCCTTAACGGGGTACCTCCCGGGTTGCAGCCTCATGAAAGTCACGTTCTCTCTGCCCGTCCTCTCGGGTACTCTATGGTTCTCCTGGTGACTACTCTAATTCTAGTTCCGGTCTCTATGGCGGCGGCGGAGGCAGGAACGGTTGTAGGTCGGCGATTTAGCCACCTAAGGACCAATGAGAGTGGAGGAGTGATAAAGTATAAGCCAATAGAAGCCAGGGATTGGGGTCAGGTGGTGGGATTGACACGCCTTCTCGCCAGTGAACAACGCCTAGGGCGGGACGATCGTAGGGCTTATCCCGCCTGTCCCGCCATTCTCGCTAGTTCGATCGGTAGCGGGAGCGGAGAGCGGACCCCAGAGAGCCCTGAGCAGCCCCACCGCCGCCGCCGGCCTAGTTACCATCACACCCCGGGAGGAGCCGCAGCTGCAGCAGCCGGCCCCAGTCACCATCACCGCAACCATGAGCAGCGAGGCCGAGACCCAGCAGCCGCCCGCCGCCCCCACTGCCTTTGTATCTAAAAGCTTTCCAGGTATGGTTCACTGGTATCCTTATACTAACTCCTCTTTTCTCTTAGCATGAATGAATCTTCTGTTCCTCACATCCTGAATTCCAACAATGACAAAAATTAAAAACAAGGCCATGGAAGAGATAGAAAAGGAAAAGTCAAAATGGAAAAGGTTGACCCCGACCTCAGTGATTCTCAACAACTCTTCTTCTTACTTCCAACTTGCTAACCTCCCCTCCTCTGCCACTGTATTGTCATTACTACTAATCCCTCAGGTGTGTTAGGATTGAACATAAACACCGAGAATATCTGCTCTATCTGCAGTTCATCTAGAAGGCCCCCGCGGACCCCGTGCGGCCTTGGGCCCCTCCCCCTGCCGCCGCGTGCGCTCGGGCCCGCACGCCGTTGTTCCCGTCCCCCACCCCCCGCTCCCTTCCGCGTGTACCCTGAGAGCGCGGCGCGCCGCCTACGCAGGCCGGAGTGGGCCGGGGCTGCTTCCCCTTCCCTCACGTGCTCTTCGCCCGCGGCCTGCGCACACGCCCATCTTGGGCCCGCGCCCCGGGCCTGCCTGGGGGCGCCCGGCGGCTTCGAATTCACCCACGTGTGCGGCGAGGGCGCCGTCGAGGTCCCCGCGCGGCCCTGCACACGGGCGCTCGAGAAAAAGGGCTGTCAGGTGGCTGCGGCCCTGACCTGGGAGCGTGCGAGGCACCGGATGCTGAAGCCGGGCTGTTTTAAAAAGGATTATCTGGTAATCGTGAGTTGTTTTGTTTTCCAGCAACGAAGGTTTTGGGAACAGTAAAATGGTTCAATGTAAGAAACGGATATGGTTTCATCAACAGGTGAGCGGCTCGTCTTCATCCCACCTTTTGCATGTTTGCTGCTCCGTGTGTGTGCCCTGCAGGGCTTGGGATTGTTTTAAGCGTATGCAGGTACACGGCCGTGTTACGAAGAGGTGTTGCTACTTCTCCTATGTTAGTGTTGAGTTTTGTTTTCCTTGATGACTGAGGGGATTAGTGGGTCTAGAGATTCTTTGTTTTGCAGCTAAGTATTAATCGAAAGCTAACTTCAAAGGCTTTGTTGTGGTACAGAGCAACTTAAAAGGCAAACGGAGTGAATGAGCTTTACCTTAACAGTTATGGCACCCTGGGGAAACTACAGTCCAGTACGTTTTTATCCCTGTCGTCCTTCTATGATTTATTGAAATTGATATTTGAGAATGTGTTCTACTGATTCACATACAGATTATTAACACCTTGTTAGCCTTTTGGAGTACCATGATTTGACATGTCAAGTGTATGAGGCTTGTCATTTTTACCATAAGATTATAGTGCCTTTGTTTAACATTTCAAATATACTGTCTTTTTAACACGTCTGATGAATTTGATTTTAGGACTGCTGTAACCAGAGAGCTGTGTTTATTTGCTCGTAGAGTAAATAATATATCTGAAAGAAAATGGTCCTTTTCCTTCCTCAATTTTTATTTCTCCTACTTCCTTGTCCCCAAATCATACTGGTTAAATCAGTTTTAGTATAGCCCTGGCTGTAGCTTTTTACAGCGGCCTTTGTCCCTGGTAACTTAACATTGTTCTTGGTGTTTGAAGACAAAGCTACAAACTGCATTTTTAGGATTTATCCTCAGAATTGTTTGTAGCGGTGGTGGTGGTAACATGCAGTTGACTCACTGTATTCTCCATGGTCTCCCTCGTGAGCCAGGCATCATTTTCAAGATGGCTGCCAGGGCTAGTAGTGCAGTTACATGAGTGTAGAGCACCGTGTATGCCAATAGCAATCTTGATCATTTAGGTATGATACTTAGCATCATCTTGGCATTTTTTTTTCTTATGTTCTTACTTTAGAAAGTGTTAAACAGCTAGAGATGTTTAAAAGAACACTTAAGAATAGGAGCAATACAGAATGTTTGTGAAATGGACACCAAATGGGCAAAGTCGAGCTTAAAGACAGACATAATTTATGAAAAACTGTTCATTAATCAACCGTATAGCATTGGGGAAATGCTCAGAGCAAGAGATTGTAAGCATTTGATGGTTTTTCTCTACATTTGCAGTGGTGGGGAAACATTTCGTTCCAAAATCCTTAGGGTTTTCAAACTGTCTTACACACGTTGCCTTCCTGATGGGCCAAAGCTACGTTCTTCATCGGTTTTTTGATAATAGTTTACAAGTGAAAAAGGAAGGGAATGTTTTGGTGCTTTTGTATGATCGAATTACTGATTATTTTTTCACTGATCTCTCTGAATTTATTAGTGTTTTAGTTAGCATTTTCATCTTACTCTGATTCTTCTCTCTGACTTAACCTAAGCCAGTGCTTTTCAAATTTAAGTGTGCTTAACTTGGAAGGGTGTTAAAAATGGAAATTCTTGAGTTCCTCCTTCAAAGCTTTGTATTCATTAGGTATGGGTACATTTTTAATAAGAATCCCAGATGATGATAATGGTCTGTGGGCCATAACTGCAAAATCATTGCTTTTAATCCTTGACCTAGTGTAATGATATGGATATCTCCACTGTAAGTTGCAGCCTTTTGGGTAGATAGATTGTAGTTTTTGTTTGTATTTTTATGTTGTCGATCTGTACGTGTTTAAAAAATTTTAGTGGGTCCCTTGTTTTGGTGCATTTTGTTAAATGGACATAGGTTATGATGTTTTTTGAAGCGGGCAGTTTTTTTAATCCAAGATGAAAGAGTAATTCTTTATTTTTTAATAATTATTTATTCAGTGAGATGCAATTCATGGAATATCTCTGTTTTGACTTAGAAAAAACTCAATTGGTCATTCTTCAGGGCAAGTTAAATGTAAATTGGCTTGATGGTCCTTTGGACTATTCTAACCTCAACTGTTTTGTCAAATTAACTGGTTAAAATGTGTTTGTTGTGTTTCTAAACTAGTCGTTTTAATGATTCTGAGACTTTTAAATAAGATACTGTAAAATCTGACTCCAATTAAATACAGGGGAGGTTTCCCTTAATTAAGGAAAATGTGAGTCTTAAATATAGTTTGGAAGTTAGCAGTTGGTTCTATATGTAGTAAGAACAGCCATCAAACTGGGCTGGAGGCACCTGACTCTCCAAAGGGAAGGGAGACAGACTGACACCTGTGCTGTTTCTGTATAAAGGGGAGGGTGCAGTGTTTGGGGTGACTGCTGTGACTCTTAATTTCAACCTTGGGATTATGTGGATAATATATTCTAGACTTCTAATATTTTTATAATTATTAAAGTATGAGACTTTTAATTTAAATTTTTTGCTTTTAAAGACATTTTTATTGTCAGTGTTTACTCCAGCTTAAATGATCATCTCTGATGAATAGTTACAGCCTTGTTAGAATAATTCTTTAAGGATTTTCCCCTAAAGAAAACCGTTGTTGTATAAAAGATGCTAGATAAGGTGAGCATAGAGCTTTTAAAATAATAAAGTTTTTGGCTTTATTTTGTTAGACTGTTTAATCTAAAAATTGAGAAAGAAATTTGGAGTTATTTTTTTGTGTGGGGTGCCTGCAAAAGATAAGTGGACTATGACTAGAGAGTTCATTAGCTCCCCCCAAATTACTATTTGATTTTATTAGCTATTGAGGATTGGTCCTAGTAACCAAACTCACAGAAGATTACCATGAATCAGCAACAATTTATTTTTCAATGGGACCTGCATCTTTTGTAGTGACTAGAATTAGGAATGTTTTTCTGTTCTCCAGAGAACTTAAGATACCTAAATTAATGATTCTGAAGTTTTGAGATGAGAAAGGAATTTGGAGCAAAGGGAATCAAATAGAGCAGAGGTCACAAACTGGTGACCTACTGGCTAAATTGACCACCAGATGTTTTGTTTGGACAGTACAGTGTCTTAAAAAGAATTGGAATTAATTACTAACATTTAAAATTCAGAAGATAATGCCAAAAAATAATCTAGATTGTTGTATTTTTAAGATCTGAACTTTAGCTATCTTCGGGGGCCTGAATTCCTGCATAAATAAAAACCGGCAGGCCGGGAGTATCATCACCACCTTTAGATGGGGCACACATTCTCTTTTTACCACAGCCTGTCATACCTAGTTGTCTTAAGTCACTGACTTTTCTTCCTGCCTGGCCTCTATATGCATTTGAGTTTATTACGCATGGTCTAGGAAGACGTAATAAACCAAGCCAGGGAAAGGTTTAGCTATCCCTCTTTACACTACTTAGTCATGGCTGTCAGGTTTAGTCTCCCTTTGGGGCACTTCTTTTTATATATGTACTTTCTATGCATATAGTTATGTGCATATAACTACTGGGTGACTTTCTTCACACAATGGTAATAGAAGATGTAACTAACAGGTATTTATACCAGGGTCAATTGTAAACTCTTGAACTAATTCATTTCATCTTCAAAGCCTTTGAGGTATAGGTACTGTTAGTCTGAGGCACAAAGTAGTAGAGTAATTTGCCCCATAAGCATAGCTAGTAAGTTACCTCTAGTGTCAGGATTTGAATTTAGTTTGCTGACTATAGAGTTTGTGTTCACCAACTGCTATCTGAAAATAGACCTTAGTTATCTTCAGTTTGGTTGTTCACATTGTTACAGAAAATTACTTTACAGAAAATTACTTACGGTGGTTTTTCTTAGCCATTGAAAGACTTTTCTTCTGTGATTTCTAGCATGTCAGTGGAGCTCCTGTATGCTGACTGCTAGTTGCTTGGATCTGAAAAGCTTTTCTACTTTTCACTGTCCATTTCATGAAGTTTGGGATTGCTAAAAATTCAAGTTTAACATATAGGCTATCTTTACAAATTAAGGGACTTGCTTAATACCTAGTACTGGAAGGCAATTAAGAAATTAAAAGAGAGAACATTGGACTTTATCTCACTTCTGAATCTTTCTGTTTTGTTTTTATATAGTCTGCAGAGTAAGAATGGATATTGCCTTTTTAAAGGGTTTTGTTTGTTTGTTTTAAAGGTGACAGTCTATATGTGATCCAGCAAAGTCTAAAATACTTAATGTGTGGTTCTAAAAAGACAAAGTTTGGAAAGATGATTGCCAGAAGCCTCTCGGGCTGTTAAAAGTCATATTAATCTTCATCACAGTAGATCTGTCTCTAAGCCTTGTAAGTCATGGGTAGTCAGTCCATAACATAACTGACTAAATGCAGTGGCACTGGGAAAGGCTTGAATACTTATTGGGGATGTGCTACTAAGGAAGGGATGTGTGGGGGGTTGGTTTCTTCAGAACTGGGACTCTTAAACAACAGTGACTTGTATGCAGGAGACTTGAGTAATTTATATGACACTGATCTTAAGCTGGTCAGAAGTCATCCATGTTCACCAAGTCACTGATATGTGACTTGAAGTAGGAATACTCTGTAAATTAGTCTGTTTCTGATGTGTATAACAAAATACTTGATACTGAGTGATATATAAAGAAAATAAAATTTATTGCTTACAGTATAATCTGGTTGGTGGCGACAGTGACTCAGGGGTCTCACACTGCAAGATGGTGGAAGCAGAGAGAAAGAAAGACAGACTCCTCTTCTTTTTTTTTTTTCCTTTTTTTTTGTCTTTTTTCGTGTCCGGCAACGGATCGCAACGCTCAGTGTCGCGCCCATACCGGACCGGGACCGGCAACGGGATCGCAAACCTAGGTGCTGCGCCCGCACCTCGCTCAGCCAGTGAGCGGGAACCGGTCTGTATGTGGGATCCGAACCCTTGGCGGGAGCGCCGCCACACTCCCAAGCGGCGCACTGTAGCAGTGCGCCACCGGGCCAGCCCAGACTCCTCTTCTTTTAAGAAGCCCTTGGAACTACACTCCTGACCACCATTTTTAATCCATTCAGTACTGCTTGGTCCTACAATCTAATCACCTCTTCAAGGCTTTACCTTTCAATTACCATAATAGGATTTCCCACCCTCTTAACAGTCATAGTTGGGCTAAGTTTCTAATATATAAAACCTGAGGGACACAATTCAGTGAGTTTTGTGGGGGGGACATAATTCAATTCACTACACTCTGTCATCACATACTGTTTTCTCCGCTCTTCCCCCAAACTACAAACCTGTGATCTGAAAACTCCTAGAATAGACAACTAGTGTATTAAGTATTTTAACCTTCTGTTTTCCTAGTATAGGGCTGCAGTTGCTGAGTTTACTACCCTCCAATCTCAGCTGGTGGAAGCATCTACAGTTCAGCCTAAGACAGGATGGCAGACAAATGTGGGAAATAGGAGTGTATCTGCTGGATGTGAGAGGTGGTTAATAAAGAACAAGTAAAAAGATAAGTGGAGATTTGTGATCTTAAGGCCATCCTCAGGGCTTGGAAATTGGTGTCTGAATGCTTTACGTTGTGGAGCATATAGATGCTAAATCCTGGAATTTGTTTCTGTAATTATAGGATTATAAATTTGCTGAGGTGAATTAAGATGTTATAACAGCTTGGTGTGGTAAATTGCAACAAGGTAATAGGTTAGAAGTATTTAGTTATGGATAAACTTACACAGTTCTCCTTTGGTTTTCATGGGGGATTAGTTCCAGGACCTCCCTTGGTTACCAAAATCTGTAGATACTCGAATCCCTCATATAAAAATGGTGAACTACTTAATACTTTAAGTAATACAGTGTAAATGCTATGTAAATAGTTGCTGTACTGTATTGTTTCGGGGATATTGACAAGAAAAAGACTACATATTCAGCACAGATGCAATTTTTTTTATCCAAATATTTTTGATCCTCAGTGAGTTGAATCCACAGGTGTGGAACCCACTGATATGCAGGGCCCAATTGTATGTGATGATAGGTCTCATTTAGGCAATACTGTTGCTTGGCAGATGTTTTATAAAATTTTAGCTTAATTTTTCTATCTATATACAGCTAGGGTAAACGTAGTTGTTTTAGGGATGGGAGGGCAGTCAAACATGGTGAACATGCCAGAGTAGTCATTGAGTTTGGGTGGATTGGGCCATGAAAATCAAAGGCTGGAATTTACTAAGGCGTTTAAAACATTGGGTAAACTACTTGTCTTTTGAGTTGTTAGAAAATTTCTTGGGGGAAGGTTTTTTTTTGTTTTTGTTTTTGTTTTTTGTTTTTTTGGTCTCTTTCTGAGTTGCATACTTTTAAGACTCTTATGGATTTGAATAGACTTAGTGTAATATAGACATGGCAGTCATTATAGTTTAGTTTTAAAAGCTGGCTAGTGTTTTATGAATAGTAGTCACCATAAATATTAAGAGGACTTAATTGAGTACCTGCCATGTTCCTACGGTGTGTTAGTTAGGTTCTAGTGATAGAAGAAAGAATGAGGCACAGTCTGCAGTCCTTTGGGGAGGAGGAGCACAAAAACTAGGCTGCCCTGTCTGTAACATACTCAGTAAAGCGAAGGCAGAATTATGTCTTTTGGTTCTCAGGATATATACTACAGAAGGCAAGATACAGAGCTGGGGATGCCTCCATTCCCTCCTCTATTATGTTAATAACAACTAAAGGTTAAAAGATACTTTTTAAAAAGTTTTTCTCTTTTTTTTGGCAGCTGGCCAGTACAGGGATTGAACCCTGGACCTTGGTGTTACCCGAAAACATACTTTTTGATGAGTTCTTTTGGCCATCTTATTTTGATTATTGCTTTTCCTTCTTGAGTAAGATATCTAGTGGCCATGACATGCTTCCCTCCCCCCAAACCCGCCAATGTTGGTATAGATCAGTGATCAGTGAACTACCACCCACAGCTTGTTTTTGTATGGCTTGTGAGCCAAGACTTATTCTTACATTTTTTAAAGGGTTGTGGGGGGGTGGGATATGGAGCAGATACTGTATGTGACCCACAAAGCCTAAAATAATTACTGTTTGGTCCTATAGAAGTGGTTTGTAGAACCCTAGTCTAATTATACATATAATGATTCCAGAGGAATATGGAAGGATGCTTGTTACTACTTGTCCTCTCCTAAAATTGGAGAAATCATGTGCTATAATCTACCTCTAAAGCCAAAATGTAAAGATTTCAGAACTGGTTCTTTTTGAGATCTCAACATAGTAAAGACCAGGGCCTGTGGAGTCAAAGTCCACCACTGTGAGCAAATGACCACTGTATTACAATCCCCTAATTTGTGGATTGGGGGATTAATAATAGTACCTACTGCAGGGTTGTGAGGGTTGAATGATATATTTGATTGAAGCAATTAGCATAATCTTTGGAACTTAAGCCCTTAGCAATGTAAGTTGTGTCTAGTGTAGTTTTTCTCATTTTGCAGGTGAAGAAAAAGATTTAGTGAAGAGGCGATAGTTTTCCAAGTTTATACAGCTGTTAATTGTAGAGTCAAGACTAAAAATCAGTTTTTCTGTTAGTAATGCCTTGAATTTCGGGGTAGCCATTTAACAAGCTGCAACTAGATTGATTTAATGTGTCCAAACCATAGTATTCTATCTTGGCCGAAGCCACTTTTTTTGAGCTGTTAACTTTCTTCCTGAAATCCAGATTCACTGTGGTCATGATATTCTCTGTTAAGCTAGTTTAGTGTCAACAAAATAAATGAGTACTATGTTGTCTGGCCTGACATTATTAGTGAACCTACGCTGGTTTCTACATACCTATATACCTACAAAACATCTCCCTAAGCTGTTTTTGAGGGAGCGACATTACTTTGTATATTGCCATCCTTGTACTATTTTTATGATTGTCCTGACTACATAAGTAGTTTTGGCAAATTTTCTAATATTCCTTTTACAACTCTGAAGTAAATTCATAGGTACTTTCATTTCTTTTTATTGCAGTGTATGTTTTTAATATGTCAATATCTGTTTGCAGCTTTATTAGAAGACATAATGAAGTGGTCATTATCACCACAAATAGGGATTGATAAAGGAACGATATATTAGCTACCCAGATAACGTGAGTAGCATTATCAACAATAATGAAATATCCTTCATGCAAGTTGAGTTTTTATTGAATTTAGTGTATATGAAAACAGTACAAAAATACTAGATTCAAGACTTGGATGATAATTTTAAAATTTACTTTCATGAAAGTCCAGTAGGATACCAAGTCATTATGTGTAGTCATCCTATAAGCCTTTCACCCCACCCCCTCATTAATGCAGATAGCACTCTCATCTTAGAAACAACTTTAAATGTAGTCTTGTCCCTGTCGAAAAATCACTATTCTAGACTTTGCTTTTCCTACTCTATACTACCAATTCTTTATCGTTTCAAATTCAGTCATGTTGAAAATCAGAACTGATGAGTGATCACTATGATGTTTCTGTGGTGCTGGAACTATGGATAGATGGGCAAAACCAGCCATCAATTACCTTAGGTATTCCTAATGTCCATCTAGCCTGAAAGGTCAGTTTTCAGTCACTTGCCTTGGGTAGCTTTTGCAGTGTTCCTGTTTCTGTTTGATTTTTTAAGATTTAAAATTATTCCGTTCCCGTGAACTAAAAATGTTTTCATGTTGTGATAATGCAAGCTATAACTTTCAAGTCAGAATTAAAGTTAATTTTGTGTGGATACTTTAGTGCCTGCATTGCTCTGTAGATCAGCGAGAAGCTCAGTCAGTAAGCTAGTCAGTCTTATTCATTGTAACCTTTGTTCCCTTTGTCATTAAATACTAGAGCTACTATGGAGCCTTTTCTCACTCTGACCTACTGACAAAAGAGGGTGAGGCACATCACTAAAGGCCTGGAAATGGTGTTTCTCTTCCCATGGTTCTTCTTGCTCCTAGTATCATCACCTTAATCCCAACTTCCAAGCTAAAAAACTCAAATCAGTCTCTACTTCCCCCTCTCTGCTAACATCTAGTAATCACAAAGTTTTTCCCTTTTTGCCAGGAAAAAAATAACTCATGTATCTTCCTTCACATATGACCCCTTAGTCTAGGCCTCCATCAGTCCTCAGCAGGGCTGCTAGAGTGCCTTTTATAAGTAAAGTCCTGAGGGAAATAGTTGAACCCTATTTGTTTAGCAAGTTTGACTAAAATAATGATTGTAAAATGGTGTCTATTTATTAGGAAGTAAAAGGGTGTGTGTGCTGTTAAAAAGTTTCATTTATTTTTGTATCCTTAGTTATCTAGTACAGTGCTTGGCATATGAGTGGTGTGGATAATATTGATGGGTGTCCATGTGTGTACTTGATTGTGGCTGGGGTTTTGTTTTTGTTTTTCGAACAATTTTAGGTTCGAAGCAAACTTGAACTGAAAGTACAGAGATTTCAAGTATTTATTCCCACCCACACCAAATATAAACCCTTCCCCACCATCAACATCCTGAACCAGAGTGATACATTTATTACAACTGGTGAACCAACATTGACCCATCATTATCACTCAAAGTCCACAGTTTACACTAGGGTTGACCTTTATGTTGTATATTATATGGGGATTTTTTTGTGGTCATTTTTATGACCTCTGGAAAGTTGGGCATTGGAAATGGTGAAGAGGAAGTGATCAAGGGTGAAATGACAAAAGTAATTCCTGCTTTTCTTCTGTTAGTAAATGTGCTCTAAAGGTAAGGGTGGGGTGTGCTGAAACATTGTTAATGTTTAATAGGATAAGGAGCTGCTGAATATATGTTGCAAGTTGCTTCTACCCTGTTAATTATGGTTCAGTAGATCACACATTAATTTCTTAGACTTTTTTTTTTTTGCTTATCCTTCTGCAGGTTTTGAGGTTGCAGCGTTTGCAACTGCTTAATCTTTAAGCAGAGATCGTTGTGGCTTACTTGTTTTGCTTTTTTCAAATTTCCTGGTAGCTGGTTGGCAGCCAGAAAGTCTCTGGGAAAATGGGAGTAATACACCAATGATCAGTTGTATTCTTAATCTTCGACAACATGTATTTCCTTTTCTGACTTAATCAACTTGGTTCTGTCTTGCAGGAATGACACCAAGGAAGATGTGTTTGTACACCAGGTGAGTACTTGTGTAGATATTTGCACTTCTGGCTTCAAGATTTGTGAGAAGGGCAGGTGTCTTCTCAATATTGTTCTTTGCAAAAGATTAAGTCCAACCATCAGTTTATTTAGTTCGTACAGGAAGAGTAATAACATGCTTAAGTGTATACATTGAAACATTGTATTGAAGTTCACATGATTAAAATAGGTGTTTCAAAAGGTATTTTGTTAATAGCTATAGCTTTTTTAAATGTTCAACTGCTCAACTCGCACTAAGTTTTCATACCTAATTTCAGATGAACAAATGACCTCCATGGATCTAAATTTGATCTAATGATGTTGCTATAAATACACAGAAATTTTGGCAAGAAGTTTTCAGATGCTGTTAGGTCTACCTCTGTGATATGGACAAATTCCAGTAATCATGGGAGAAATAGGACAGAGCTGCAAAACTTAATTTGAAGTGGATGCTAGAAAAGTAGCAAGGTCCTTCTGTTTTTTCTAAAGCACTTTGAATGAATGGGTGGTGCTTTTTTTCTTTTTTTCTCCCCCCTCCTCATTTTTTTTTCTTCAAGACATGCTTGTACATTATAAGATTATTGCTAAAGTAAGCTACTGCCATGTGAATGTTAATATCTCAAATTTAAGTATGTTATAGGCTCCAGAGGACTTAATCCTCATAAGCATGAAATAGGTAGGAAAAACACATATTTGTGTATGTATACTTCCATGCTATGCAAGGTTTTTTTTGTTTGTTTTTGTTTTTGTTCCCCCCCCCCCAAGACTGTTGAAATATTATCAACTTGTATCGAAATTTATTTAAAGAATTTTTGGGGAGGGGGTTACTGGTCAGGACGGGGATCCAAACCCTTGACCTTGGTGTTGCCACACCATGCTTCAACCAACTGAGCTAACCAGCCAGCCTGTATTTTATGAACTTTTTGCCACTTAAACTGTAATCCAGAAATCAAAAGACCAATATTCACACATATGGACATACGATCTTGGATGGCAGCATACTTCTTGGGAAGGGCTGTCATAGGTTGGTGCTCTGTAACTCTCTGTTCTCTGAAGTGTCCTATATAGCATTCCGTGACAGTCCAGGGGAAAGCCACATCACTTTCTGATACATCCAAAAACTCTATCAGATAATCCCAGGGTTAAATACAAGTATGGAAACATTTAAATTGTAAATACAGGACTGCCCAGGCACTGTTACTTTAAACAAATGTTTTATAAAATTGGTATTCTTGTTTGGGTAAAGACACCTTTTACCTGTTGCTTTACTTCCCTTTTCCATGTGTAAAAGAATAGTCAGACTTAGGAGTAAGAAAAGCAAGGTTTGATAGTCTTGCTGCCTGTCAGCAACCCTCAAAGACTGGGGGGGGGGGGTGAAGATGTTGACTAAAATAAGAGTTTTCGGGTTTTAATTATACATACTTCTGCTATCCCCTATGACTGCAGGTAATTGAGAGTTGGCTGTATATGAAAGGTATGAAAACTATGACAGTTTAGATGACAGATGAGATCAATTATTTGATTTCAACTCACCCAGTTGTACTGACCCATAAGTTGTCACCAATATGCTTTCCTCTTTATTTTGGAAGTGGTTTCAACATGTAGTTGTTTTTGGGCTGCTCAGGTCTTAGTGGTGTATCAGAGACTGCAGTTCTGGGCAACTCAGCTTAATTGGCCTTGCTTTGTTGGTTGTCCTGCCTCCACTGGAATGGAAATGCATGAGTGATCCTGTAATGGATACTGCTGTGATGTGAAATGATCATGGGATTTGGAGTCCCAAGACCTGAATTTAGAAAAGTCCTTGCTGTGCCACTTACTAGCTATGTGACCTTGGGCAAGTCACCTAACTTTTAAAGTCCTGTAATATTATCTATATAAAAGGAGTAATAATACCTCATATCATCTGTCAAAATGAAATTGAATAGTTAATATGTGAAAGGACTTGTATTACATTAAAATGTGGGGTGTTACTCTTGCCCTTTTACTTTGCCCTAGCAGTCTGGAGAAGTAGAAGTAGCACATCTCTAATGAAAGATTTATTGTACTCTGGGAAGGTAATAACCAACAGTCCCTTGCAGTTAAAGAGCGGCATAGTTAATACATGTGAATTGCATTTCCATTGAAGTATTATCATTAGGTTGGAAGGGATTTTAGTTGACATTTGTAACTGAGTTTGATATGGTAACACAGGGACAAAGTTGGTTCGGTCAACTTTGAAGCATGTAAAACCAAACTCGCCTGTCATCTAAACTGGCCCTGTATGGGCCATTAAGACTATTAAGTGCAGTCTTTGGGGGATAGATGGATATCCTCATTTTGTTCAAAGTTACATATAGTGCTTTTGCAAAAAAGCATTTTTAAAAGTTTTTATATATATATTGTTGTGTCTGTCTTGAGTGTTAAATTACTTGTTTCGGTTTTGTAAATAGTGGTAAAATGCCGGGGCCTTGTAAGATTTGGAGTATTTTGGTTAAGGTTGGGGGTAGCATTGGTCCCTGCTTTCCTGAATTTATTGATAGTGGTCTTTATAAAGCAAAAATTAAGATAAGTGTATATCCAAGCTAAAATAATGTTGACTCTGGTACATTTTAAATGAAAAAGCACGTTATTCTCCCCTGTTAATCTATTTTTGGAATGTGATGTTACTAGACTGCCATAAAGAAGAATAACCCCAGGAAGTACCTTCGCAGTGTAGGAGATGGAGAGACTGTGGAGTTTGATGTTGTTGAAGGAGAAAAGGTGAGGATGCTTTTTGTGTAAAGGTTTGACTTCAGTATGGAAATTTTTTGAAGATCTCATCCATTAGGATGGTAGCTGTAATGTGGATGGTTGTGTTCAGGTGATCACATGAACACAGGTTCATCAAGCCTAATGTGCTGACTGCGGTTAGAGGGCAACCTCTTCAGAACAGTGAGGAGCTGATATTTAGTCATTTCTATTTAGCCCTGGCCATGCAGACCTACTCCCCACCCCCACCCCTGTTTTTTTTCCCTTTTGTTTTTGGCTTAATGTGAAAATTTTGAAAGTGTTCTGATTTTCCTTGTCACTATCAATATATAATGGCTTTTGTAGGGTGCGGAGGCAGCAAATGTTACAGGCCCTGGTGGAGTTCCAGTTCAAGGCAGTAAATACGCAGCAGACCGTAACCATTATAGACGCTATCCACGTCGTAGGGGTCCTCCACGCAATTACCAGCAGAATTACCAGAATAGTGAGAGTGGGGAAAAGAATGAGGGATCGGAGAGCGCTCCCGAAGGCCAGGCCCAACAACGCCGGCCCTACCGCAGGCGAAGGTTCCCCCCTTACTACATGCGGAGACCCTATGGGCGTCGACCACAGTATTCCAACCCACCTGTGCAGGGAGAAGTCATGGAGGTAAGTTTCACCAAAAAGAAAAAGGATTAAAATTAATAATGGCATGTGATAACATTCAGTAGGACAGTATTTTAATCATTTCTTGGAGTTTTTCCCCTACACTGGAGCTATTAATCATGGGAGTCACCTTTGGTTCCTAATAAAAGCCAAAAGGATTATTCGTAGTATCATCCCAATTACTAGAAGATTTGGTTTTGGGGTGTGTTTTGTTTTTTTTTTTTAATTCTTGTAGAGTTTGGATTTGTGTGGTTGGATTTTTACTCTGAAGTTACTGATCAGTAGGCTTGATTTTTATGTCTTTTCAGGGTGCTGACAACCAGGGTGCAGGAGAACAAGGTAGACCAGTGAGACAGAATATGTATCGAGGTTATAGACCACGATTCCGTAGGTATGGTCCATATAATCTGTTTCTATTAAAAATCCTTCAAGTGTACATTAGGACTCAGCAGTAGCATGCTCCCCTACAGCCTTGAGTCATTTATTTGTTAACGCTTCACATTCTCTTTCATCACATGCCTAGGAGGTGAATCTAAAGTCAGTTACCTTTGAGAATGTATTCTTTGCATTTTTGCTTGTATAGATGAGATCTCTCTTTTTTTTTAATGAGGGTATGGAATTTCAAGTTTTCTGTCCTTGAACAGGTAAGAGAATAATTTAAACCACATTATATCTTTTAGGCCTGCTTCCTTTATCAACTTAGGTATGTAATGTGTTTTTTTTGTTGTTGTTATCCCAAAGTTGCTAAATGAAATCACTTTAAATGTAAATTAAGAATTTACATTTTGGGAAAAGGAAACCTAGTCCCAGACTAGCATTAAACACCCAGTCTACCTATGGGAGTATTATAGAATCCTATTAAAAAGATGTTTAATTATTAAGGCAATTAATAGAGTAATTGAGGATAAGATCCATGAGCCAAGAATATTTTAGTACATGCTGTGGTACATTTTGAGGCAACATTCCTAGTCCTACAGTGGTAGGATAGGATGGTGTAAGTTATTTCATTAAGGGTCTTTATATCAAAACATTGAGTCTCCAGGCATGATCCCTAAAGCTGACAAGTAGCACTCAAGAAATAAACTAATACTAATAGAGTAAAACTAGTAACTCTTCCTAACTGATGATCACTTAAATAGCATCCTTTAAATGCTCAAATGAGTTATAAGAAACAAAGCTTTTTACTATAGAAGTACCCAAAGTCCTCAAAATATATTGTGACTCTACAAGAGAGAAGATTTCTATGTATAGGTTTTGTGTACTTTTTGAAGTTAGAGCACTCACTGAAGCTTTGGGAACTAGGGAACCTAGTTGAGGTTAATACTACATGTACATCAGTATATGTACATTGAGAGTTTTTCAATAGCAGCCTTTGCTGGGCCGGCCCGGTGGTGCACTGCATAGTGCGCCGCTTGGGAAGCGCGGCGGCGCTCCCGCCCGAGGGTTCGGATCCCACATACAGACCGGTTCCTGCTCACTGGCTGAGCGAGGCGCGGGAGCAACACCGAGGGTTGCGATCCCGTTGCCGGTCCCCGGTCCGGTGCGGGGGCAACACTGAGGGTTAAGACCTGGAGTCCTAGTTGGTTTGCTAAAATTGTGAAGATTTTTAATTTAATTCACTACCGGGAGATTTTGTTAGCCATGTGCTGGATGTTAGAGATAGATGGGATCTTCCTGTCCAGTGGGGAAGATTATTTTTGATGCTGATGGATAGTTGGTTTTGTTGATCTTGAACTGAACTGTGGTTCAAACTATTTTAAACCTAAATGTAGGTTATTGATGAAATTTTGCAAAAAGTGCCACAATATCTTTTTTTTCTTTTCCTTTTTGTCTTTTTTCGTGTCCGGCAACGGATCGCAACCCTCAGTGTCGCGCCCGTACCGGACCGGGACCGGCAACGGGATCGCAACCCTCAGTGTCGCACCCGCACCTCGCTCAGCCAGTGAGCGGGAACCGGTCTGTATGTGGGATCCGAACCCTCGGCGGGAGTGCCGCCGCGCTCCCAAGCGGCGCACTGTAGCAGTGCGCCACCGGGCCGGCCCCCACAATATCATTTTTTAAAGGAGATCTAAAATGGGCTCTCTTGGCAGTCTATCCATTAAGTCCTTGGGTGCCAATGGCAGAATCTTTGATTTATGTTTTTGTTACACTGTAGAGCTGCTTAAATTTTCTGCCAAATTTCAGTGGTGCCCTTAAAAATAGCACTAATTTTTTTGGTATTGTGTACTTCAGTTTTACTCTTGATAAATTGTATTGTTTGTGTATATATTGATAAGTCTGAGGTTGTTTGGTTGTTTTCTAGAAAGGTAGAGTTATAGGGCCTTACCTACTTCAGTACAAAGGCGACAATAGGTGACAGTGCCAGATATCCACTATGATAACACATAATTGCTTTAAAGTTTGCAGTGAAGTTATCAGTGAATGCAGGGCTTTCCAAAGGAGCAAGGAATCCTTTGTTCAAATGAGCAGCAAATGAAACATGCTGCCCCTTGTGCATGGAGTGGTGGGGTGAAATCCTGATTGCTGCAGGTTCAAGAGCAAATTGAAGGGGCAATTTTAAGACAGAGTATAGCAGGTCTTTTGCACAAAAGGAGACAGATAGGTGGTAGTAAAGGGAAAATGGATCAAAGAGGATTTTTGTGTATGAGAAATAAGAACAATAACATTTATAGGCTAAAAAATGCAATAGAAGAGGACAGTTGATGGCAGGAAAGGGACCACTGGAATTATCTTTATTCTTCAGATGGGGTAGAATTTTGTGCACAAGTAGAGGTATTGGCCTTTTGCTATGAACGTGGGTACTTCCATTTGTAAGAATCCAGAGTATATTGGGCACAGATGTGTTAGTGGGAACCTGTGGAAGTCTTTGGCTGCTCAGTGAGTCAAAAGTAACAGGTAAGAGAGGAGGTTTGGGACAAAGATGTACAATTATCTCTAGAAGAGAAATGGACAAGGGAAATTTGTAAGTCATAGAATAGTGATCACAAATTTAAAGTGAGTCCACCCAGCATGGTTGTATTTTTCCAGCCATTTGAGCAACAGGGTCATGTTGGACAGATAGTTGGATTTATCTGGCATTGGTTTATCCAAAGACACTGGGATAGGAATTGGTTATATGATTAATGATGGACTTTACACTTGAATAAAGAGGGGGGAAAATAATAAAGGGGGGGAGAGAGTGATAGGTGATTGGATCTCTGGATTATAGGTTTTAGTGGAAATTAAGAATGGGAGAACTAGAAGGAATAAAATGGAATGTAGAGCTTACAATGACCAATAGGTTTAAAAGGCCTAATGTTAATCTCTAGGGTGCTGTGTGTATGGATGGAGGAAAGGCCAAGAATAATCACTGATTTTCTGACATTTTCTAATGACCAGCAAAAACAAAAAAAAGTCCGTGTGTGTGTGCGTGATTTAAAAACCCTGATTGTTTTTAATTTCAGGCCACTGAAAATAATATGTTGCTGGGATGTACCACTTTATGTTTTAAGGAGTATACAACTCAATGGCGTTAGTATATTCACAAAGTTGTGTAACCACACCACTAATTCCAGAATATTTTCATTGCCCCAGTAAAACTCTGTACCCATTAGTGGTTGCTCCCCATTCCCTTCTGCCCCAGCCCCTGGTCACCATTAATCAACTTTCTGTCTCTATAGATTTACTTATTCAGGGCATTTCATATCAATAGAATTATACAGTATGTGGCTTTTTGTGTCCACCTTCTTTCACTTAGCACACGATCCTTTTCAGTGTTTTTCATTTAGCAACATATATCAATACTTGATTCCTTTTTTATGGCCAAAATAACATACTACGTTTTGTTTATTCCACAGTTGATGGACATTTGGGTTGGCTGTTGTGAATATCAATAATTCATGTATGTGTACAAATTTTTGTGGATAATCTCTTGAAAATGGTTTGGTCGTATGGTAACTGTCTTTAACCTTTGGAGGAACTGCCAAACTGCCCAAGCAGCTACACCATTTAACATACTCACCAGTAATGTATGGGGGTTAGTTGTTTCACATCCCACCAACACTGGTTATTTTTATATAGCCATCCTAGTGGGAGTGAAGTGGTATCTTACTGAGGTTTTCATTCATGTTACCCTAATTACAAATGATTACTTCATACTTGTATTTCTATGAAGAGAGCATCCTTTTTTTGGTTTTGATTTCATGCCTTTTTAACAAGTGTTCATCTGTTTGTAAAGGTTAGTAGCACTTGTTTGGTTTTTTGGGTTTGTTTGTTTTTTTGGCAGCCGGCCTGTACATGGGTTGAGCCCTGGACCTTGGTGTTATCAGCACCACACTCTAACCAACTGAGAGCTAACTGGCCAGCCCTAGTAGCACTTGTTTTTAAACCTGGTTACCATAAAGCACATTTAAAAATCTTTTTAAATAACTTCATAGTGTTGATGGTATTGTGCCACTATTAGCTATTTCATGATTAATTTTGTAATAGATTATGCTGTGGGCAAAAGTTTGCTAGTCAATTAAAACCAGTTTTAAATATTCATCTTCCAGTTTACATTTATGTCTCCTTGTATGGAATCATTACACTCAGTTTGTGAAACATGAACTAAGTTTGCTTTTTTGGTTTTTGCTAAATTGCCTGTAGAACACTTGATGAAGAAAATGGCCAGTTATGTCAGTTTAGTTGAGTTAACCAGAAATAACACTGGTGGGTGAGTTGAAGAAAGGTTTTATTATTTTTAAGTTTGCACTCTGTTCATCCTAGGGGACCTCCTCGCCAAAGACAGCCTAGAGAGGACGGCAATGAAGAGGATAAGGAAAATCAAGGAGATGAGACCCAAGGTCAGCAGCCACCTCAACGTCGGTACCGCCGCAACTTCAATTACCGACGCAGACGCCCAGAAAACCCTAAACCACAAGATGGCAAAGAGACAAAAGCAGCCGATCCACCAGCTGAGAATTCGTCCGCTCCCGAGGCTGAGCAGGGCGGGGCTGAGTAAATGCCGGCTTAACATCTCTACCATCATCCGGGTAAGTAAATCTAGATAGTGTGGCAGTCAATGAGTATTGTTCATGTCATGTTCTGAACTAATGCAAGGCAGGGTGCAGGGAACTCAGCTCATGTAGATAAGGGTAAGCCATTTTGTTTACAGTGTCTTCCACCCTGATCTTTAATTGTTGAGTATTAGAGTCATATATGGCCCCTCAGCCAGTTCTCAATTTTGACAGCTGGAGATCTGTCTTCTCATTGTATATTTTGAATATTAGAGCCTTTTGTTAATTTTCTGAATGTTGTGATTGTACCAGTAGGCCGAGGAAAGTCTTCCTAACCTTATTATGAGAGAGAGGTAAATCAATTACGTTGTGTTATTTGTGCTTCATTTTCAAAAAGAAGTGGGATGGCTACTGGAATAACACAAATGTAACTTGTTGGCCCACTTGGTTTTGTTACCCTTAAATTCCAAAATTAAGGGATTCCTTTACATTGAGCTTTTTACTTGATACTGCGAGACATGTGTCTCTTTGGCTCTGGAATTACCTCTTGTTTTCAGCCAGTGGTACTTCTGTGTTTTTTTCCATCTCCACTATTTTCTGGATAGCAAAAGGCCATCCATCCAGAACCCACAACTTACCGTTTTTGTCACACAGCAATTCCATCCTCTTGTAAAGCACTGTCTTAGGTTAGACCAATGTAAGATTTGTTAATGTATTCCTATACATAACTAACGTGATCTGGAGCATTTGGTGTACACTACATGAATACTGAAATGAATTTGGACATGGTAATTTTCAGTTTCTTTTCTTCTTTACAGTTTAGTCATCCAACAAGAAGAAATGAATATGAAATTCCAGCAATAAGAAATGAACAAAAGATTGGAGCTGAAGACCTTAAGTGCTTGCTTTTTGCCTGTTGACCAGATAACTAGAACTATCTGCATTATCTATGCAGCATGGGGTTTTTATTATTTTTACCTAAAAACGTCTCTTTTTGGTAATGACAAACGTGTTTTTTAAAAAAGCCTGGTTTTTCTCAATATACCTTTAAAGGTTTTTAAATTGTTTCATATCTGGTCAAGTTGAGATTTTTAAGAACTTCATTTTTAATTTGTAATAAAAGTTTACAACTTGATTTTTTCAAAAAAGTCTACAAACTGCAAGCACCTGTTAATAAAGGTCTTAAATGATTGTCTTTGTGTATATTTCTATCTAGTTTTGTTTTAGTTTATAAGTCCTTAGCTGTTTATAGGATCCTTTGGTTGAACCTGTCTGTAAGTAGACAGCACTCACTGGTAATTCTCTCTCAGGGGAAAATTGAAGTCCCAACCCCCAATCTTTTTTTTTTTTTTTTTTTTAACTTACATTGACCTGATGGAGAGGGGTTTTTATTATGCACAAAATGTTTTATATGGTTGATCTCACACTGGCTTCAGAGAGTTGTGTTTGGGTTTTCTGTACTCATGATTGCTCAATTGTTGCTGTTGGTTTGTTTTATTTTGGAATCAGTGAGTGCTTTCGTATGTTTTTAATTTTCTCTCTGGCAATCTTTCCTGGATTCTTTACTTTGCATAATTATACCTACAATGGAATGAGCATCCTAAAGTCACCAAGATCAGTCCTACTCTAACATCACATGACCTTCTAATTCTGCTAGCTAACAAAAATCGTCCAAGGCTAGCCACAACAGATCCTAATGAATCATAAGATGCTGTATCCTATGCACAGGGGATGTTTTTGACACATAAAACTTCTAGGAGCTTATGTCGCTAGGATAAAATAAAGATCCTTCTTCCTGGGCAAGCTCCAGTGTGGCAGCCATGGGACCAGTGAGTGCTTGCAGCTAAAATCTGTGATCCTTTATTGAGTGACATGCCTAAGTTCATACTAAAAATTAGAAAATACGTACTCTGAAAATCTGCCCCTTTTTCATTGAAGGATTAGCTCATCTGCAAGGAAAACTATAGCAATGGAAACCCCATAGTGTAAATTTTGTGTGGGTTCCTCTTTCTGTGAGACGGTGGTAAAGGGGAAGAAGGCATACTCTAGCACAGACTAATGGCATTCTAATCCCTGCTCCACTTAGTTCTGTCACCTTGAGAGCATTATTTCAGCCTCTCGAGTTGTAGGATTCCTGACACAGAGCCTAGTGTGCTCACTAAACATCAGTTTAGTTCTTTATGTAGGAGAGAGAGTAACAAATAATGCACTGTCTGGGGGAAGGCTGCTTAGGAACATGGGGGTCAGTGAAATTGTAATGCAGTCTTGACACCTTGTAACCTAACGCTGGTTGGGCTGGTTTTTTTCCTGCTGTCATAAGATGTTCTTTGGCTTACTTTGTGAAATAATCAGTTGATAGTTACTGCTAAGAACTCATTCGATCATCCTGGCCAACCTTCAGGGCCTAGGGGAAACATATAATCGGGGCGGGGGTGGCAGGGATGGAGAAGACTACAGTGGCACTGCCCCTTTCCAGAATATGCTCAGGGTTCACAGATCCATCACATCTAGGGGACTGGTGACTGCAATGGGAAAATAGTAAGGTTGACTACGAGTAGTCAACTCTTTCTAAAATCCTCTTATAAATTTGGGACCAACTCTTTTAAGATAAAACCTGATAAGAACTTTTGAGAGACTTGAAAAGTATTCATACTGCAGAAATGTGTTAGGGTTAGCCCATTCCTTACTGGTGATTTTCGAAAGTACCCACCCAGTGTTTGCAAGAGCATAATAAAACATATCACTGCTGGGGATATGTAAAATGTTATTTATGATTGCATATGTTAGGATATATATCCTGGAAATGAGAAGGCCAACAACACTGGTTAAATATTCAGTGCTGCTGTTAAGAACAGTGTGTGTGGGCCGGCCCGGTGGCACACTGCTACAGTGCGCTGCTTGGGAGTGCGGTGGCGCTCCCGCCGAGGGTTCAGATCCCACATACAGACCGGTTCCCGCTCACTGGCTGAGCGAGGTGTGGGAGCAACACCGAGGGTTGCGATCCCGTTGCCGGTCCTGGTCCGGTACGGGCGCGACACTGAGGGTTGCGATCTGTTGCCGGACACGAAAAAAAAAGACAAAAAGGAAAAAAAAAAAAACTGTGTGGGACAGACTTGCCAGTGTTGTAAGCTCAGCTAATCACCTTTTTTTTTTTTTCCTTTTTGTCTTTTTTACTGACCGGCAACGGGATCGCAACCCTCGGTGTTGCACCCGCCCCTCACTCAGCCAGTGAGTGGGAACCAGTCTCCACATGGGATCCGAACCCTCGGCGGGAGTGCCACCGCACTCCCAAGCAGCGCACTCTCCAGTGCGCCACCGGGCCAGCCCTGTATCACCTCTCAATTCTATTTTGCCATGAGCTTTTTGAAGACCCTTCATATACTAAAAATGAAAAAATATGTACTGAAAATCTGCTCGTTTTTTCATTTAAGAGTTAGCACACCTGTAAGGAGAACAAGTGTACATGTGTGTGTGGTGTTCTGTTTCCCAGCACTCTGAATGCTTTTATTCAGGGATTTTTGTAAGGATTAAAGAGCCTGAGTGTATAAGGTAACCCAGAAAACAGCCAGTATGCAGGTTTAGACCTAGTCTGCCAATCAGATACTTGAGGCTTTGGAGACAACACTATGTGCTAGGTGCCAGATCACATTGGGCCGTCCCCTTTAAAATGAGGAACAAAGTGAGGATGTTTGCTGTCTTGGTTTCTATTGAATGTGCTGGACAGCCTGGGTAGTGCATTAGGAAAATACGTAAGGATTGGCAGAGAAAAATTTTCATTATATGTAGATAATGTGCTAGCTGCACAAAACCCAAGAGCACTTGCAGTCAAGTTAGAATTTATAATCATTTTCTCTGTGTAGTAATGGCTAGAAAATATATATACACACAAATATTTCACAGTAGTATCAGGAAATGTAGCAATGTCTAACAGCATTTTCATGATCTTTATTTAAAGGCAAAACATGGAGTTTTTCATGTTCATGATGGTAAGACAATATGTCAGTTCGTCCATTGATTCAATGTATTTTGGTTTAAAAAATCTTAGAAAAATTTTGGTGGAGTTTGGAAAGCAAATGGGCCTTGAAGGAATGTATTAGAGGTTTAAAGAGAGAAATATGTAAAGTAGTTGTCCTGGAGAATGGGGAAACATACACTAGGGAAATACAGTAGGATTGCCTCCAGGTGGAGGTTTCGGTTTTAATTGCCAGGCAGATACAACAGAGGAAGGAAAGAGCAAAGTATACTGAAAATGAATGCAAGGGTATAGTTGACACAACCTTCCCAGCATCCACTCCCGCAATCCCCAGGTATAGGGTTGGGTACTGAATGACCAGAGGCGTTCTCTGGTGACTAGAATTGGCTCAGGGTTGGCAAGTGTTCCAACTGGTTTGGTGGAGTAGAAGTACTTACTTAGGGATCTGGAAGGGTATGAGGGGGTGGTCCTAGATTGGGACGAGGGGTGGTCCTAGGTTGGGATGAGGTGTGGTGCAGTTAGTAGTCATGTGAATGGGAGGAGGCAGAGGCAAGATGAAATGAAAAAGGCCACAGCGTTCAGTGATCTGTGGGTGCTGAAATTGCTACTAGTGATGTTAGAAGTAGTGGGTGTGGAGAGGACAATGACAGTGACCCAGGAATTAAAGTCTTCAGGATGCTTTTGGGTAATGAATTTAGACTGAAGGCATGGGCTGCGAAGAAGTTGTAGTTCTTGAGGGCTTAGGAGGGAGAAAAAAATGGTTTCAAAGTGGCAACGATGTACAGAGAGGAAACTGCCCACCAACAGGCATTTGGGGTATGGGAAAAAAAAAAAAAAAAAAAAAAAACCAGCCATGACTAAAAGGGCTGCGAATGAAGTAGTGTCCTGGGGGTGAGTCTGCTTAGAGATATGTAAGAAAATGAATGACCACGCCCTCTCCTCCCTGCAACCAGCCCAGCAGCCACCACTGAGACCCTGCCGGAAGCACCCTGGGCTCTCCTGAGCCAAGGTGGTGGGGGGCCTCGGCCATGCCCACCCCCCACATCCACAACCAGCCCAGTGACAGCTAACAAGCTACTGCAAGAAATGCCCTGGGCTCCTGAGCCGCGGCAGTGGAGGGCAAGGGCTTCAGCACACCCCCCTGACATCTGCACCCAGTCCAGCAATGTCCAAGCCACTGCTGGAAGCCCCCTGGTCTCCCCTGCAGGAATGAGGGGGTGCCTCAGGCAACAACACCACCCCTCCTCTTTCCTCCTCCTCCCACCCTATTTCTTTCCCCCTTCCACTCTCCCTCTCCCCCACAACTGCTCTACAACAGCATCATAGAACATTTAAAAAAAAAAAAAAGTGAATGCGAACATCCAGGCTGGTGACTGAATTCCAGAGGGTGCAGTGGAGGGTCCGAGACGGGAGCTATATTGGGTCAGATTAGGAGACGGAGAGATTGCTAATGAGAAATAATAGGGAGTTGACAGCTGACGTGGAGAAGCTTGGGCATCTGATAGAAACTGAGGTACACAAAGAAGTGGAATGCCTGCAGTTGGGTCCTGAGGTTCTGGTGGAAGGATTTGTCTCACATTTCAGTGGTGCAGCTGGGCTGTGGTTGGGGAAGAAGCAATCTTACTAGGAACTCTGCCTCTCCCTTAAATCCTGCTCTGAGGTGCCCCAGGCAGAGAAGGGCCTGCTTTCATCCCTTCAATCTGGCTCCAGTTTATGAAGGTCATGAATGTTACAGAACGAGTAGACTGGACTGTGCCCTATTTATCCCGGTGGTGTGTTAGCACCTTGCACAGTCTGCTTCCCAGCAGCTGTACAGCCCTCCTGCACTTTCATTCTGTTTGGGCCAAGGAGCTGGTGATAGGAGAGTGATTTTTATTTTAGAAAGACTACTCTGGGGCAAAGAGGTTCCATCAGAAAAGATTTGGACATTGTTGTAGAAGTCCAGATAAATGATGAGACCTGGGCCAGAAATACAGCAGTAAGAACAATGGGGTCAGATTAGAGGTGTTTTTAGAAATAGTGTTGACAGATTTAGGCAACCAGCTGAATTTAGGGATGAAGAAGGAAGAATCCAGCATAACTGCAGAATTTTGATGCAGATGGTGTCAGTTGCTGGGATAGAGAATGCACAAAGAGGGGAGGGGTCTATTCAGTTTTAGGCATGTGGAGTTTGAGGTGCCTGTGGGGCACCATGGGAGTGTGTTGGAGGCAGGTTTGG